TACGAGTGAAGTTGTTTAATACGAATATCGTAATTATGGTGTTTAATAAAAATTAGGATGAGATGTGAAGGGAAGTAAAAACAAAATAATAATAATAATAATAATAAAAACCGGATGCGTCTCTTAGAGAGACGCATCTAGTCGGTCCGTCAAGTCTCCTTACGCCGTCAAGGTCTCAAGACCTGACGCCTTCAAGGTCTCGTTATGCCGTTCCGTTACGCCGTCCGACGGAGCACTGAATGCGTCTCTTGAAGAGACGCATTCGTATAAAACTAATCAAATGCGTCTTTTCAACAGACGCAACACCCTAAAAACCTAAATATTTCAACCCCCACCCGTTTTTCTCAATTAAGTTCGAAAAGGTCTTTATTTTTTCAAAAAACCCCCTCTGTGGAGGTGGGAAAATTCAAGATCCTAATAATTCAAAATCTTTTTACAATCTTCATATGTCTGTTATTAGAATAGGAGAAGAATACTTACATTCAGGTTGATGAGGACCTCAAGATGGCTGGATATCCGAAAGGTCCCGATCGTAAATACAAGTCCATGGGTCGGTTCTTGGTATGCGTGTCCAAGTGAGAAAATACTCGGGGTGGCATCCTGCAGTACCGGTGGGCACCCGGTAAGTGAGAAAGAGCTAGTCTTGGTCTGGTAAGTGGCAAGACTCATCCCGATTGCCAAGTTTAGTCATTCTTTGTCCGGATCTCGATAGTAATCATCTCAACATTACCCAGTAAGGCCGTTTAGCCGGTTATCGACTAGTTTCTCGATAGGAATGGTCTTAAAGGCGTCCGATGGGTCCGATAAGCTAGTTTTGACATAGTTAAGCGGCAGGAATATCCCGGTAGTACCTGGTTGGCGTTTTAAGCTTATTCTGACCCCATTAAAGGTCGGAACTCATCGGTAAAGTCCTAGCTCATCGTAGGATCTCTATTGCTGACCACTATTGAAAACTTGATAGCTCATTATTTTTAAAAGAGAAAGTTTCTCTTTCTTAGTTGTCAAATAAAGGTAACCTAACCCGAGTGTTTTCTAAAATAACATGCTTAATTCAAATTTTCCTAATAACGGTGAAATTTTATTTTGTTTTGTTTGGCTTTGCTTTGCTAGTTTGTTAGAGAAATTAGGTATGGAATAAAATATGAGATAACTTTTGTTGTATTTTTATTGGCAGTATTGAGTAGTGGAGTTCCACTTTTTAATGGACTTTATCCACCACTATCATTTATTAAAAACTTCGATAGTTTGTCCATATTTGTGTATGAACATTCACTTTTGAGTGGAGTGTTTAATTTATTGGCATTTTGAAGCTATATGATGTATGAAACATTATTGATCAGAAATGGTAATAAAATTTTGTTGGAATTGATTGGTACAAATTTTAGTTGGAGACTTTGTTTGGCTTTTTGAGTATTAATGAAGATGGAATTTCTAATCATCTCGGTATTTAAGTTTTGGAATATGTTTCGATAATGTTTTCGTGTCTTATTTTTTGTTTTTGATTGCTCCTAACTTTTTAGAAACACATTTTATAATTAATTATTCAGGGTAAACATTTTGAATATTTAATCTAAAAAATTAATTTTCATATAAATATTTTACTTTTTAAATTTAAAATTGCATAGAACGAAAACAAAATAATTGTTATGAAATATATTTTTGAATTAAAAATAAATAAATAAATAAACTAGCCAATTTAAAAAAAAATCAAATTATTCAGGGTAAACATTTTGAATATTTAATCTAAAAAATTAATTTTCATATAAATATTTTACTTTTTAAATTTAAAATTGCATAGAACGAAAACAAAATCATTGTTATGAAATATATTTTTGAACTAAAAATAAATAAATAAATAAACTAGCCAATTTAAAAAAAATATATCAATAAGTTGGCGAGGAAGAAATAAAGAAGAAAGGAAGAAGGAAGAACAAAAAAATATATACTAGTGTCAATGTCATACCTTTGGTTCTAAATATTCAATTGTTTTCATGGGTTCGACATGTGAAGAGTGAATCAACATTTGCACCGTAGTACAAGAAAGAAAATCAATAAAATGTAAAAATTATCAACAAAATGTCACTTATATATATATATATATAATATATTAATTATTTTTAACTATTTAGCAGTGTAAAAATATTTATTTGTTAATTTAAATATTTTTTACAATTTTTTAATATTCCATGAGATCTCGAACCAATATGACAAAAAGACTAAAATACCCTCCTTTCAGTGTTCATTTGATAAATTAACCATAATATAATTTATGCAAATGAGTCTCTTTACTATTAATTAGATCCACAATAAAGAGAAGAGAACCTATGTTTTTCTTTTTTTAAGTATAACATGTGGGATAAGAGATTGAACTCACAACCTTGAACTATATTTGATGTAATATAAGAAGTTATTTAAGGGACTCAAAATTAAGTGAGAGTCTAATTTAAAAATTGTATTTCAAATTCTACGTTGAGTCGCTAAAGAATGCTAGGTACTAAAAGTTCTTTTTTAACTACAATCAAACCCAAATGTCTTGACAAATTTGTATGTAGTGAAACTAGTTCAACCAAACTAAAAAAGTCATGAATTCGAACGAAAATTCAAGATAGAGTTGATATTTGCACAATTGCATGGTTGATCAAAGAGAAGCACAATACATACATATATATACATATATATATGTGTGTGTGTGTGTGATACAAAAACAAACAAAACGTTGCAGCCAGACTCAGGCAGTACTCATATAATCATATTTCTCTCGTCAGAAATTGGAAGCAAAAAGAAGAAAAAGAAAGAAAAGAAATTATATTATATTATATTATATTATTACTAAAAGGCCTTGGCGAAATCCTTCATCAAGGCGCGATTGTCCTTGGCGAAATCCGAGAACTCATCCAGCGAAATGAATCCATCGCCATCCTTATCAATGGCGTCCATCATCGTCTTCGCGTCCTCAGTGCTCACTCCGAACCCCTTCAATGCGTCTCCCAGCTCCGTCGCCGATATCTTCCCGTCGCCGTTCGCGTCGAATCGCTTGAACACTCGCTCGCATTCCTCTGCGCTTACGCCGCTACTATCCGCCATTTCTGCGATCCAACAACTAATTAGGGCTTCCGAGTTAATTAATTACGGCTTTCCTTCTCCTTCTCCTTCTTTTCCCCCTCTTTTATACTCCCGATTTTGCCCTAATTTCTTGGAATCGCCCACACCTGGATTCCTCTCCTTCCATCTCGTCTTCTTCCCAATCGTTGCCCTCAACTGATTTTGCTTGACCAATGCGAGTTCTTCTTGATCCCGCAGAGTTTCTCGGATCCCCGATCAATTTTCCGAGTTCTTATATTATATTAAAATTTTTCATTAATCTAACCAAAACTGTATATCTGTTTAGAAATTCGGTACCTTTTATGTGCACATCTACTAACCATGGTATTATATATTTTTATTTTTATTGTATCATAAGAAAATTGATCGGTATTAGAAAATACCATTAATAGATGTATAACATCAACATGATAATTTTTAACCTACAATTTTTCAAAAATATATGATTTTTGGGTTAAAAACATGTGTCAAATACCACTTTTTAATGCAAGCTAAGATATAATATTTTAAAGTTAGAATTCTTTTTAAGTACAACAAGTAGAGTGGAGGGATTTGAATTTGATAGTCAAAGACCGGTGTCAATTATCACTAAACTAAGCTCGTTTTTAAAATTTAAAGAATTAAAAAAAATAAATATAAAATTTCAAAGACCAATATAAAATTTTATTCTTTTAATATATATATATTTTTAGTTAAATTAGAAACTTAGTCCTAAACTTTAAAAGTTTTCATTATATTTTTTAAAAATTTTTAAATTTTCTTTAATTTTTTATGTTAATAGCTTTTTTTAGTGGAGTGAAATACATATCTCGACTATTGAAGCTTATTTAATTATTATACTTTTATATATAATTATTAAGAGAAACATACGCTTCACTTCTATTAGTGTGCCTTAGCTATCTTGAGAGAGCAGGAGATTTAAATGAGTGACTTCCCATCTTTCAGAACTCACGACTTTTTGGTCGAAGATAGGTACCTTAATTCATTTATGCTCGATTCTCATCGGTTAATATGTATTGACAAAATACTTTATTCTCATATATTAAATTGAGATGAGTTGGCATGATAGTTTCACACAAGAACCATTACACTAATGTCAAAAAAAAAAAAGATTCAAAAAGAACAACCATTATACTTTTACCCAAATGTCCCAAATTTAATTTACCCTAATTATATTTGCTCATTAATTCATCGAACTAGTGGTTAAATTGTTGGGTGTGTTGTCCTAAACTCGTAGTTTGTAATTAATGTAAAAACAAATTTATATTCAATAAAGTTTTATTCAATCAATTTGTTGTTGAATTCATAGCAATGTATTGTCTAAATCCAATAAACTAAACATCCAAGGTTATTGTCATGTAATCGGGACAGTATATATACTGGGTATATATTTGATATACTCTCGATATACAAGTGGATAATATCCCGGGAATAACCTAAAGGGTCTATAGTATATGGATAAGGTTGGGTATCTTATCCTGGCAACACTATGGATACGACCCACTTTGTAAATGTTACAGACAACCCGATCCAGGTCGTTCGTGTGGAGACATACGAGTGGGGGTATCCTATACAATGAGTTTGTATAAGACCGGACCACGAAATAGTCAATCTTTAGATGTAACGTTTAACTAACAGATTCCTATTTTATAGGATGACCAAGCAACTCCCATGAGAGCTTGTCCTTTGATTTGTATGGGTGAGAGTGGCCCGAGTTGCCGACTCAATATTCCTACCATTTTGGGACGAGGCCAAGTGGGGAGCTAGGAACATAACTTCACGAGATGGAATTCACTCCTCCCCGACTTTTAGGGAGTAGATGAGTGTTCTCTTAAATGCTGACTCCAGGACTTGAATAAGGGACCCCACCCTCTCACTGGCCCGAGAGGGACTTCCGGTTATTGGTCGGACCATAACCGAGTTGTTCATTAGGGGAGCGTGATATTTAAGAAGCAAGATGTAACATGGGGTAAAACGATAATTTGACCCATTTGTGGTTACGAACATTCGTTAAGGATTAACTTGCCAATTAATGGTTGTATATCCGTGGACACGAAAATATTATGCAACTGTGGGTCTTTAGTGGAGTGACCCGTAGTTAACGAATGTTGATTAACTCAATCAATGAATTTGACCAATTAATCTTGTATCGTTGGAGCTTCTGATTTGTAGGTCCATTAGGTCCCCTTGCTAGCTCACAACGGGTAAAATGAAGATAAAGAATTATGAAATAATTTGAAATGTTCAAATTACTTAATTATTTATTTGACTTTTATATATCTATATATATTAATTAATTAATTAATAATTAATATTAACACTCCTCTGCTTAATTCCAGGGGGTGGGGGATAGTTATGATGTTGATGTGAGGAGTTACCCTACGTCATACAAGAAAGTTATGCAAAAACAGAACAATTTTGATCTTCCTCTCAAGTGTTGATTCTCTCTCAAGCTCTCTCTCTCAATCACCGTATTCCTTATCGGTTCCCACACAACCGGATCTTTGCCGGAGTCATAGCAAGGAAGGCCGTGGTGGTATTCGCTTGTAATAAACTAGAAGAAAGGTTCTTCAAATGTGAGTTTCTTTTCCCCTGCATTTTCCTATTTCAATTTTGTTTCGTGGGTTTTGTTTCTCAAAAATTCAAGAACAAAGATCCCTGTTTCCACTGCGGGATTTACGTCCTTTCATAAATCACACCGCCTTATCAACTTGAGCAAATTCAACTGTTAAAAGCATTAAAAAAAGAAAAAAAAATTATAAGCAACATTTCAATTTCCAATTTCCCACCCCATAATTATAATATTAAATTATTAAAAAAAACAAAAAAAAGTCAGGTTGTCTCAACCAAAATGTTTAATGTTTATAACCAAAACAATCAATTCCATTATCAGTAATAAGCTGAACTTGTCTTTCTTCCAATAAACAAGATAACGGTCGGTCCAAGCATAGCTGAAATCAGTCGATAAGCTGAGCTTGTCTTTGTTCTTATAAATAAGATAACTATCAATCCAAGCATAGCTCAACGATTTAATCAATAACCTTTTCTATAATGTATAGGCAAAGGTTTGAATCTCTACATCATAATTGCCACATGTTATATTCTAAAAAGAAGAAAATAGAACAACATAACTCGCCATGTCCACTCAGCAATAGATAGAATCAAAATCCGAGGGGCATGGTCGGGCAAGAAACCATCACGAGACTCAGCACATTACAGCAATAGAAGCCATATTATTGATGTTGTTTCATTACCATAAATGAATGAGACATAATCATTTCAAATACAATGGAAGATCCAAACAACAGAACCAACAACCCAACTTCACAAACAGCTAAACCTAATTGAGAGAAATTACAAAATCTGCCCAAAATTTGTGGAAATTAGGTCTTGGGTATTATACATACAGATCCTAGAGAGAGAAACAGGGACTTAGGACACAGTTTTGAAGATTGCATTAAGTACAGCTTCTTTGTTTGGCAAAGCAGGGATGGCCCCTCTCTCCATGACAGTCAATGCACCACAAGCATTGGCAAACAGAAGAGCATCTCTCAATTTGTCCTCTTTCTACAATGTTCAAAGACAGACACAAACTGTTATTTCATTTGCCATTCTTCTGACAAGACACAGTAATTTTTTTGAATAAATAAGGTTAAATTAAAATTTGATCCTTTTGAACCTTTGGGCTGTAATTTTTTTGAATGAATAGTTCCCTGTACTTTTAAAAAATTCTAATAGATCTATAAACTTTCACTTTTGTATCTAGTAAATTTTTATCTCTCAAACGAAACAAAAAAATGGATCATAAAAAACATTCTATTCTACACCATCAAATGCCTAAATTTGCCAAAATCATCTTGCTACATAACTTTTAAATAATACACCCAACATCCTATGTACGCAAGTTAATGTAGAGATTTATTAGACATAAAGTTAAAAGTTTAATGACCTATCAGAAATTTTTTAAAGTTCAAGTAATAGATAGACACAAGAGACAACATTACAGTCGAAAAATAAAACTTCTATCAATATTAGAACGGTTTAAAATACAAAGAGTAATAAACAAAGATTAAACACACCTATATGCTATACCATATTTGTACAAATAGAATATCTTCTCAATATTTTCTCTCTTGTTGCATACTAAAGTTCAGGATTGCAGCTCTATGCATTGCATGGTTAAGAATATCTAAATGAGGTAAAATATAGCTTATCTTAGGATTGCAGCTCTATGCATCTCATTGTTAAGAATATCTAAATGAGGTAAAATATAGCTTATCTTAGTTTAGTGATAGTTTAAAAGAACCTCAAATCTAGCCTGGAGGTTGTACCATATATATAAATCCTCGAGTTCATATTTCAAAATGAAGTTTTGACATCCCCACTAGTATCATAGCAGAAGACCACGTATCTAAACTCTTATATTGTCATTTCTTTCCGAATTAACATTACTAGCCACTTTTCAAGTTTAATGACAATTTAACACTTGTCAAGTTAAAAGAAGGCGCCCCAAAAGCACCTTCAGCCTTTTAAAACATTGGGAGGAAGTTCGCTAAAGGACTAAAAAGGCAATTAAGAGGTGTTCAGTACTCCTCAAAATATGCACAGTTTTTCAATTCTGAAAAGGTACCTGAAGCAAAGAGAGGTCGGTGGCTAGCTGTGATAATATGCCAGCAACAAAGGCATCCCCTGCACCAGTGGTGTCAACTGCATCCACCTTTAGACCCTTCACTCTTCCACTGAATTCCTGCATAACATGCATCACATGCATTTTCAATTAAAGTATTTGTTCGGGCCTGTGCCTGAAATCTCGTCTTTCCTAGTACAATCTGATAGAAATGCTTTTAGGATAGAATTCAGAATATTATAAGGGTATTAAGAGTATATTAGTAATTAGTTGTTGTCAGGGAGATTTGTTATAAATAGAGTAAGCAGGAAAGGATTGAGGAAGACAATTGTTTAGTGTAGTTTAGGCTTGAGTTAGATTACTCAAGAGAGGGAAGAGTCCAAGTACCATGAATTACTAAGTAGTTATTGTAGTTCTTCTATCTTTTATCTTTCAATATATTTCTAGTTGTTTGGGATCCATCACAATCCTCGATATCAAATCTACATTTTCAAATATATAAAAATGTTACATATTAAAGGATTGAGTTTAGATTGGTAATCTAAAGAGTTCTTGGTAAAATCTTATGCATGTAATTTGGATGAGATCTAGACCCAAATATGATCAATTACTAACTACTTCGATGATTAGATATTAAAGTAATGAAATAATTAGTAGGTGTCAAGAATAGTGTAAAGGCAGACTGTATATGGCAAATTTCTGCAACAGGATAAAGGAAACCGATTGAGAAACTTGCATGGGACTGGGTATTCACTCACTTTTTTCTGCTAATGTGCAGTGGTGAGGAGCCATCTCATTTTGAATCTCAAGATGTTTAATATTTAAATATGTCATGATGATAAATTTAGGACAACAGGTTTAGCTCCTCATTCCCACACATTGTTCGCTTTGAACTAGTCCTCTTAGATTTACATTTGTACCTTATCCAAAATGTCTCATGTTAATGAGGATAGTATACTTTTAAATAAACCAATGGTTTGCCTCATTCCTAGTCCCAACTAATGTGCGATTTTGGCAATATCCTAACAATCTTCCCCTAGAAAAAGGTTGTTAGAGATAGCATTAGGATAAGTGTTAGAAATATGATTAGGATACTAAGGATATTGATGACGTGACTTTGTCCCCTGAGGTTCACCAATCTTTTATTTGGTATAGGAGTCTTTTATTTGGTATAGGAGGATTTTATCTTACATGGCTAAGTCTTGGACATGACTCTTGTACTCACTTGTTAGAAAAACAGGTCCGACTTCATATCTCTCCATATTGGTAGGATCTTGTCTACTTCGAATCCACCCCATATATTTTCTATAAACTCTACCTAAAGGCCTTCAATAAATATCAGTTTTGGTAGTCAATAACCAAATTAAACTGCCATGACAAAAACAGTATGACGTGCAACATCAGAACATATTTTTAAGCTTGGCTATTTAGTCCTTGGTTTTTTTATTATCATTATTTTTTTTTTTTTTTTGGAATACATAGTTTGAGATTCTTACCTTGGTATAATATCTACAACCACCAGGACCTTCAGTGACCAGAAGTAATTTAAGATTTGGATGAAACAGTTTACGAACAACAGCATCATCAAATGGATCTTCTCCTCTTGTCAGAAATTTAATCTCTTCTTCACTTATCTGCAAATGTACATTACAGTACATATGTCAGCTTTCCCTTAATTTTCTTTTTTAAATTTGATAATTGATATTTGATTTATGTATTCAGATTGACCAGACAGGCTATGCCTACATATCTACATTTCATTAATAGGTTATCCGGATGATTTCATGGCAAAAAAGGAACAAATGAAAACTACCTTAATAATATCTGCGATATCCCATATGCTTAGAATTCCTTCTATGGCACTGTCTGCAGAAGGCCACAGTGGAAGCCTCAGGTTAGGATCATAGGAAAGAACTGCACCAGCATCTTTTGCAGCTTTTGCTGCAGCAATGTGAGCCGACTTGCATGGTTCAGTAATAAGACTTATAGAACCATAATGAAAGATCTTCGCCTGTGAAATAAGATCAAATATAAGCTCAGTGACAACCCCCCCAAGGGAGGAATAAAAGATTAAATATGGATAATCTATCGGCTTAAATTTTTAGATTTAGTAGTTTGACATAGTATAGAGCAAAATGACTTGTATTTTTCTAGAACAAGAAATAACTTTTCATTGATATATGAAAAGGAGAAAAAGTTCAAGGATACAAACTCCCAAAGGAGTGAGAGAAAATGACCTTATTCTAACCCTCTTCTTAAATTTTTGGATTTAGTGGTAGATTAAGATATTGAACTTTGAATTTTAAATAAACTATAATTACTCTTATATGATCAACCAACATGGATTGGCCTAAAGGTCATCAAGGCAAGCGAAAAAAGTAAAGAGCTTAGAGAAAATAGTTCAAATCAAAGTATGGCAACCACTTACCTAAGATTAATATCCTACAAATTTTGTCTATAACCTAATATATTATGTTTTAGAGTCACACGGTTGTCTAGTAAGGTTAATATAGATGTGCACAAGCACATGCTAGTCTGGACACTTACGGATAAAATAATAAAACAAACTCTTCTATAATCGTTGCAAACTATTGCATTTTCTTATTTGCTATCTAAAATTTACTTCGTAAATCATTCTTACCTTCCTGATCAAATCATAATTGAGTTCAGATTCTTGAAGTAACATGTCAGCACTAGGGTTGCGGTAAAACATGAACTCGCGTTCCCCATCATTTCGCAGAGTAACAAATGCTAAAGCCGTTCGTGCCCCAGGATCAAACAGCATCCCTTCATTTCTCACATTGTTTTCCTTCAATATATCAGCAAGCATGTAACCAAATTCATCTGCACCAACCTGTGAATGTTGTTAAGAAAACCTTAAGAAACTCTCCATGGGAAAAAGTATCTTCCTTTCATTATTTCATTATCTTCTCTAACTGTAGAAGTACCATATGGCAACAAGTGTGATTCAATATGAAAAACTAAGATCTGACCAAATAAATTAGTGGAAGCAAAATGTTAAAAGGCTTGATTCCTCCTCCAAAAATAAGTGTACCTTCTATTTACACAGAAGTAAACAAGTTTTCACCAATGAAAGAGGTCTGAATAATAACCACTGACTAGGTTAGAGGAATGGGTTCAAGCCATTTCTTTGGCAAACAAATGTTGTACTTGCATGGCTAACCAGTTGTCCCATAAGATCGAGGTGTACTCGTCTAAACACCATTGAGAATATTTATTTTAATAAACCACAGATTATAATTTAACGGTTTGTATATATTTATTGCAGATAAAAAACCCATAGCAACATTTATTATATTACCTTGCCTATAAAAGCAGATGAGCCACCAAGACGAGATATGCCAACAGCAACATTAGCAGGAGCACCACCTGGAGCCTTTTTGAATGCAGGTGCCTCAGCTAAAGATAGTCCACTAGTAGTAGGGACAAAATCAATCAACATTTCTCCAAAACAAACTACAAGAGATGAATCATTTGACTCCGCAAAAACACCATCTCCAGAAAACGCTTTCACTGAGAGTAAGAAATAGAAGGTTTCAGCTCACACAATGATAAATTGTCACCAAATTAACAAACGTAAGCGGATAGGTTATTAAAAATTTAATCTCTTTAACATATTCTCAAGACTCAAAGACTTTCCACATTTGTGAGCTCATAAATTAGCAGAAAAATCTAATAAATTGAAAATAATGTTAAATGGAGAGAAAATAATTGGTAGATGTTTGATCAAATTTCACTTGGTTTTTTATCTTCAAAGTTACAAAAACGAACTTCAATCTCATTTTCTCCATTACACCAATTCTTAACACTCCTCCCATATCTTTTACCTGCGAACTCACTTCTATCACATGGGCCAAATGAACACGAAGAAAATTCCCATATAAAAATAACTAAAACAGGATTTAAACATAAAATTTCTGCTCCAATAACATACTAAATTCTCACTAATTTACTAAACAAAAACTAACACTAGACACAAGCTTAGTTTGATACATCATCTAAAAAGGACAAAAACAGAGAAGTCATTACAGATCAAATTCAACACTCAATTACAGAGGAGTCTGTCTACCTTGCACCCTCAACCGAGATTCTGAAACTACACGAGTTCTCAAAGACCCAAATGACGATTTCACCGCCCATTGCCTGTTTGTGAACAATTCATGAGTAACATTAGGAACGCCATGGAAGCAGAATGCTGCTGAATGAAGGGCCATCATCGACCCAAACCAGACCAAAACAACCTCGACCCACCGTGAGAACTAACACTAAGAAGTAAAACACTGAATCAGTGAAACTTCAAACGCAATAATTCCCGGTTAAGGGGTTCAAGAGAGCAATTGGGGGGTCCAGAAGAAGCTGGACACGAAATGGGTCAGTGGGAAAACTGAAGAATTGGTGAAAATGAGCTTCAGAGTGAGGAAGAAGGAGTTGCAGAGAGGCAATGGCGTTGGAAAAGTGGGAGTGTTTAGCGGAAAAAGCGATGGGGAAATTCGCGTAGTTTATCGTTTGCCAAGTGCCATTAACTTTTTGGACGGCAGAATAAAGCTTTGTTTGAGGTGGAAAAAAAAACCTGACGCTTATTTTGTCGTTAATTTATGATTAAAATACATCTCTTACATTTGAGGTTTTAATTTTAAATATTTGAATTTAATCACTATATTTTTAGTTTGAAAATAATTTTATATAATTTGACAAGATAATAGCAATAATTTTCACGTAAGAAAAAGCACTATGTTTCTAAAATTTAAAGACAGAGTAGACTGAAGAAAAGTTAACCAATAAACTAATTGTCGGGACTAATTTATTGGGAGCGCATTTACTAATTTTTGGACATTTGAAATTCATTCATTAATAAATAAATAATGGAGAGGAATAAAATTGTATTGTAATCTTACAACGTACTAGAACGCCCTTGTTGACCATCCTTTATTCCGACAGTATCTAGGATTCCTCGAACAATGCGATATCTCCCGGGTAAATCCTTAACCATTCCCTCTCTTACTAAGACTACATAATGCTCTTGTAAATTATGGTCAATACTAAGTATACAAGCAGTGATTTCAAATCTCGAGATTAAGCATTTATTATCATAAATTGGAATAAGAATCAATCAATTTGATGTTATCTATTGTAGCATTCTATAATTAGAAACTTACATTCTTTACTAAAAGTAGATGGAATCAAAATAGGAATGAGATATATAACAATTACTAAAATATTTTTTCTTATTTTTTTAATTAATTATAGTTAACCAAAAAAGTGTGCTAATATTTATTTTAGTTAAAATAATGATAAAATTTTATTTATTTTTATTATTATTTCATTGATAGTAAATATTTTGTATTATCACTATTTATTTATTATTAATAAATAATAATTAGTATAATATCCCAAAAAAATAATAATTAGTATGGATTACATCAACTACAAAATGGTAATATAATTTTTATTAGAACAATATAAAATATTAATAAATTTTATTGTTATAATATTTAATAATAATTATATTTTAACAATTTTATTGATATTTGCCCATTAATAAATTATATATAATTTATAATGGATTATAATAAAATCACATTAATTAATGAAAGTTGTATACTTTTCTGTTAGAAGAAAAAATATCAATGGTTAAAATAAACAAAGAAACAGTAAAATTGAAAAGCAAGTAATTAAAAATTATGAGTTTTGTTTATAGATTAAAGAAAATTGGTAAAAGTTGTAATTAATTATTGAAAAATATGTAGGCCCAGTAAATAAATAATGAGAATGAAATTAACGAGATTTTATGACCTAATTTGGAGGATGATTCACAAATTTGATTTCATTCATAACTTTCTTCTAGTTATTTCGTGTTTTTTTTTTCAAGAAGTAACATGGATCAAAATATAATAGGGATCGCCTCTCTTATTGTTGTGGAGGCGGCTTTCGGGGAGGATCCTTCTTCTCCGCTGGTTTCTGTGATGATGGATGGTGGTCGGGCGTCGAGTATCTCCCTGTTGGATGTTGATAGTGGTGTAGCTGACAAAATCAAAGGCAACATTGTTATGTATGGTCCGTGGCTACGTTATTTTGGCGTTTTGAAGAGTTATCAGGCACATAATTGGAGAGGGCTGCATGTGATCTCTTGGGATGACTCTTCATCTTCATTGCATATTGATTAAAAGAACGTTCATGGTCCAAGGGCAAAGAAGATGGAGTAGAAGGTAGGCGATGGCGGAGGTGCAGCAATGATCGGTTTAAACACTATTTTGGAATCTGGTGAGGCTATTAGCCTTAATTGTATAAAAATTTGTGACCAGCGTGATTTGGGTAATTTGTCTAATCCTTTCTTACCTATTGCAGTGGATAAGAAGGCAACTTTTGAGGGGTGTCATAATTGACAACATACCTCCACTAATTAAGGATTCTCTCCTAAAATCATTGAATGAGATTAAGGATGTTGTGATTTTGGAGAAGGTGTTTAGTGGGTTAGATTTTGTTAATATTCCGAGACCTTTGAATAGGCAAGTTGTTTTATTAGCCAAGTGTTTCATTTTGTCTGTTGGGACAATGTTTTATTGTGATGGTGATGCGCGGTCACCATTCTTCTGCCTTATTGGTTTTGTTTATTTTTATGCCACGTTTCTTTGTAAAAAAGAACATACAAATTTGTATTTTAATTTATTTATTAATAAAAAAAATTGTCTATAGACTTTTCAAATTGTGTCAGATACATATTTAGACTTTCAATTATGTGTCTAAAAGGTCTCTGAAAATTATAATTTATGTTTAATGAGTCCTTGATATATTGATACTTTTTAAAAATTTATTGACCTATTAGATACAAAATTTAAAGCCCGAGGTTCTATCCAACGCTTCTAAAAATTTAAAGAATTAGACACATTTGTTAAAAGTGAGTTGGATATATATAGTTAACTTACAAATTTACTGTAAAATTCAATGTTATTTTTTTTAAACAAATTATGATACATTAATGAATTAACAAAAGAAAAACAAACTTATACAATGTTATGATGACATGCTTTGCTTGTTTGAAGAAAAAAAAAGAGATAACGTGTTGGATGAACTATTTTGGAAACTTATTTTCATAAATGTAAAAAGTTTACAAATTTTACGGTTTTAGATTTCTTGATTTAAAACTTTTTCCACGTACCAAATTTGCCAATATTTATATTTATTATAATTAGTCTTTTATTTAAATGCAAAAGATTAATATTCCAAATTTGATTTTGTAAACATTAAATTATTGTGGGACCTAAATCAATCATTCTCAGAATCTCCTAATTTACTCTTTAATGTATTCTACTAAAGAATGAAATTTATTACAAAATATTCAATTATTCTCATAATCCTCATATTTACTCCTTAACATATTCTACTAAATAATGAAATTTATTATAAAATATTTTTTTCATTTCATTACAATTTTTGGCCAAATTTCAATACTATAGTCATTATAACATACACTTATATGCAGATAGATAGATATATATATATATATATATATATATATATATATATATATATATATATATATATATATATATATTTATATGGAGATATAAAATATATCCAGCTATTTTTTCATTTATATAGAAATATAAATTATATTCGACTATAAACTTAAGCAACATACACTTAACAATTGTGATATAAACTATAGTCATTGTAACATACACTTATATTGAGATATAACCTATATTTGGCTATAACGTATATATGACTATATCCCTCTACGATTAACAAACAAAACAAATAACCTACAAACCTTCCGGTCGACGACTAAACAATGGTCGGGATAAATGGAGGGCTTGAATGGTCTACAGGCGACCAACGACAAAAAAGAAATATCGGGATAAACGGACAGAAACAATGGATAGGCGGCTGGAGACAAAGGAGAAGCTAGACGGATTGTTCCGGGGGCGACGAAGAAGAACGAAGACGGCGACTGGAGACGAAGGAACGCAGACGGCGGTGGGAGACGAAGGAACGCAGAAGGCGGTCGGAGATGAAGGAATGGATAAAAATAGAACGACAAATGAAGAAGAAAAGTCGGAGGAACGAGGTTTTCAATTTTTTTCAATAATGGATAGTTTTGGAGATTTTGTATTTTTTACTTTTGGAAAGTCTAATTAAGCAAAATTTAAGGGATTTAAAATGTAACCAATTTTAGATTTTAAAAATTAATTAGTATCGAGCTGTAGATACAAAATGATATATTAGTAAATTTGGTGATAGGTATAATCTTACCTAGGTTGTTTCATGACAAAAATGTAAACTTTATACTGTAATTATAGACTCTGGCCTATCAATGTAATAATCCCAAGACAAAAAAAGTAACATGATTATCTAACCCATTAAATTTTGTAGGCCCACTTTAAATAAATCCACGTTGTACAATGATGTGGACATGCATTGAATGAAAAAACTTCTAATATTACATGGGATAAATACTACTTCTACTTATTACGTTTGCTTGACTCATTAATTTTGTCAGAGTTTATTTTATTAGTTCAACAATATAGAGGGTAGACGTTTGAACCTTTGACATTTTGTTCAATGATATATATCTTAATTAGTTGAGTTGAAGTTCTATTTTAAAGATCTAAACTCGAGGCAATAATACATTAACATGTACATATATTGAATGAAAATATCTATAATACTAACTATAATAATATAGATGCTACTTTCATTTATTATAACCTAGGTGAATAATACTTCAGAATTATATTTAAGTCCACGTATAATTTAGTGCAAAAAACAAACAAGGAATGTCAGATAAAATATTAAAATATATTGCCCATCCCATTAAAATTTTTGACCTCCTCCAACAGTTGCATGATGTGGTTTTCTATAGGAATAATGACAACCAACCACCAACTGACCAACATATAGTTGTTTATTTATTTTTATTTGGATAATTAAGTGCTTTCTTATCTCATGTCGCTCTAGATGAATATTAAGATTCGAACGTGAGAGACATCAAATTTTTTTTCTTTTTCTTTTAATATTAAGTTCATCAGAATATTCAAATTTAAGACCTCTAAATTAGTACCGCCAAAAGATCCTGAATTCATGTCAATTGTGAGTTGCCTGAAGGGCAACATATAGTTGTTTATTTGAAAAAAAAAAAACAGTAGTTATTTATTTAAAGTGGACAGAATATAATAAATATTGTAAAAGTCTATAAACCTTAATTAAATAAATTTAAAACTTGATTGACTAAATTAGATTTATCCACATTTTTTAGGCTAAACACATCCAATAGTTCTTTTATTTTTTGGGTAATTCTCACCTTAATTCTTAATCTTTTAAATTCGCAACTTAATTTGTTAAATTTTAAAATGGGTAAATTTGTGTACCCTCGAATTATTTTTTGTTGACATATTTAGATACTTATAGATGTGATATGATTACCCATTAAGACCGATGAATGAGTAACTTATACACCATAATATTTGAATTGGATGACTAAAGGAGGAAAGTTTATAATTTCTCCTCAAAATTGTTAAAATGTTGATAGAAGTTTCAAGATTTGTTCAATCGATGACATTTAAAAAATTATTAAGTATTATTATTTCATATAGTAGTGACTAAATTGAAAAATACTAGGGATTAAATTAAAACATTTTCAATTAGTTGAAAATAAAATTGAAAAACACCCAAAAATCAAAGACAAAAACCTAGCTTAGTTTATTTTATTATTACTATTTTTTTTGGTGATATATGTGAGTGTACAACCTCTTACATGACAATTACAGCTGGTTATGCCTTTGCAAAAAAAATTAATAATATTATGCCTTAAAAAAATTATTTATCCTATTTTTTAACCATTATTAAAATTAAACTCTTTAATATTTAACTTCATTTATATGTATCTCTCGCGTCATGCAAAGAAGGATAAAAACCCCTCGGCGTTCTCTTCCACTTCCATTCACAGTCGAAGCGAGGGAAACATCCGGTGGCATTCATTGATCGGCGCCGCGCCGCTGTTTGAACTTCACCGTATTCTCCATTTTACAATCTGGTTTCTTCGAGTTCCTCTCTGCGCATTTCCCTCGATCGTAGCAGGCGATGGTGGAAAATTCCGGTGCAATTGTAGCACATGCTGCGCAACAACCTTCATTCCCACCGGACTCAGCTCCGGCTGCTGTTCCGGCCGCTATTCCGGTGGAAATCTCTGGTGCTTCTCAGCCTGCAGCAGATGTTCGTCCTCCATCTGTTTTACCAGACGCAGTTCGGAACCCGAGTGCGGCTCCAGCGCCGATTTCATCTCCGATTCCCTCCGATTCTACCCGTAAGTCGGTGATATTGTTGCCTATCCTAGTTATTCAAGAATCGGTTTTGCTGTCACTGCATTATTAGTGTGTTTGAGGGAATTCCGATGCATTATGTGTTTTCTCTGTTTTTTTTTTCTCATTTGTTAGATTTTTTTTGTTCTTTATCTCTGATCCTTAGAGGTGTGTCCTCTGCGAAAATAATAGCGAGACTTATATCGAATCTTTATTGTTTGTTATTTCTTTCAAGGCTGCTAGTTGTATTTTCCTGCACAGTTTCAACATTCTCTGGTGTGCTTTTGGAGAGATGGAGAGACCAAGCATTTATCACAGCTCTCTTTTGAACCTTTCCTTTGGCAGATCAGTTTCTTGGCAATCTGATGGTTGATCTTACTCTAAAGTAACAAAAGAACGGAGAACCCTTGAGGGAGTGGAAAATAATTGGGAGGATTTGCTCATTTTACTTTGCATTGTTTTTCCCTTTGGGGTGATTTTCCTCTACTTTCTATGATTAAAGGATCAGAGCCTTCTTTTTTTTTTTTAAATAAATTTTGGCAGCTCATGCATCTTGGTCTAGCCTATGTTATTGTATGGCCTTTTTGTGCTTCCATTGCTCCGAACGAAAGTGGTCTTTAAGTTTAAAATGAAAAAAGAAAAGGAAAAGGAGAGAGGGACTAAGTCGTTTATTGAAGTGGAGAGTTCTGCCATTTTCTAATGATAACGGGAGAATTTTGTAATCTCCTCCAACTGTAGGTTTGGACTCTTCTTATGTTTCTTTCCGTTCGGCCTTGTAATTTTGTGCTTTTATTTTAACCTAGTTCCTATTAAAAAGGGGGTTCCATACGCTTCTATTATGAAAAAATTTGTTCTTTAGTGGGTCTTGGTTTTTCTAATAAAAATGCAGAAAAGGAACATCTTCAATGTTATGGATTTTCTTTTATTTGTTTTGCAGAGACCTTCATATACAAGAGTCAATTGCATGAGTACGCGCAAAGATCGAGGATCCCATTACCAGTTTATCAAACAGTTATTGAAGGATCTATAGGTTTACCAAAATATAGGTCTACTGTGTTAGTTGATGAGGTACATTACGTGTCTCCAAATACGTTTCGTAATCGAAGGGGAGCTGAACATGATGCTGCTAGAATTGCCCTTGAGTACATATCAAAAAGAACAAAGGACGATGGCTTTCTTCTTCTTCAGGAGGTATGATTTATATAATAAGATCGAAACTTGTTCGGGTGACCTTTGGACTTTAGTACGTTTATATATTCGGTAAGATTTCCCATAGACATTCTATGAGATTGTAAATTATCCGATTTATCTTAGTAATGAGACATTTAGTTTGTCAGAATAAGAAGTTTGACTATGAGACCCTTGGGAATGTGATGGCTAGAAATTGGATGCTTTTGTTGGCAGTTCACAGGAATAGGTTTCAAACATATGAGAATGAGGGATAGTGCTCTAGGTAGGATGGTCATCATGGGGTCTAAACTCATTCCCTCTAAGTCTCTGTACTTCCACTAGTTGTAATGGACCCTTAGGCCAACTCAGGATAGTTATCATTTATATTATCTTTATCTTCATAAGATTCTCTGTATTGCTGTAGTTTTTTAAATTTATGTACGTCTTAATACGGCTTGGATTCTATATTCATTTCTCCTACATCTTTATGTTGTCTTATCAAAAAGAAATAATGATAAAGTAGTTCATGTGAATAAATATTAGGAAGTAGTATGGAGTATTCAATATTCTCGGAGGAATATACTTATTTCTCTGATTCCACATACGTTCTAGGTGATATTAGCAATTTATTTTTGCATTCTAACACATTTTATTTACAACCTTAG